TATGTGTCTGTGTGTGTGTGTGTGTGTGTGAGAGAGTGTGTGTGTGTATGTGAGAGTGTGTCTATGTGTCTGTGTGTGTGTGTGTGTGTGCATGTTTAGGTGATTCACGAGGACACAGATTTGCATAATGTCATGGGTATTACAGCATAAACATGTTTTATGAGGACATTTCCTTAGTTGTCAGAATTAAAATAGCTTTAAAAGCATATTAAACAATGTTTTATTAAAAATTTTAAAATGCCTGTAGTTTAGTGTGAGGGGTAGGTTTCGGGTAAGGCGATAGAAAATACAGTTTGTACAGTAGAAAAACCATTACGCCCCATAAAACTTAAAACCCAGCATTATCAAACAACACTGCAAAAAAGTTTTTTCTTGTCTGTGCATCAATTTACCATCTAAAGTTCTGTTGGAACATCGAGTAATCCTTCAGTTTTTCTGATTTCAGCTTGTTTGACTTCACTTCACTAAGTTTCTTTTCTCTGTTGTTTAATTATTTACAGAAGCAACCACTTTATTGCTCAAATAACAGCATGGTTTTTATTCTTTCCTGCATGCACTGCTTGTTTCAGGTCACAGCTGGTTTGCATCGAGACATCAGCGTGGTGCAACTCATGCTTTACATGTTGTTCCTTAATATTTGGTGTCTTATATTAGCTATATAACTATAACCAGATTACTTGTTAATTGTAGTCTGTTACTGATTCCAAATGACATGACAAAAATTTTAGTTAGTAATGTAATCCATAATGCATAATTTATTGTTATTATAATAGTTAGTACATGTAACGTGTGTACCTTAAAATAAAGAGTTACCAATTTTGGAATCTGATTACGTAGTCCAGATCACATGTAATCAGTTACTAGCTCTGACTGTAACATTGTGATTTGTACACAATTTGCAATTTTTCCATTTATTTGCTCAATAAAAAAGTTGCTTAAACTGAGCGCCAGAGAAAAAGAAAGCGTGCAGGACACGTCATCTCAAACCTTGCATGAAAATCTCTAGATCACATTTGAATATAGCACACATTTCTGAATGTGTTCTCTCGGTTGGTGTAATATCTGGCGATGACTTGTGTTTGATCTGAACGCAGGGCTACACGTCGTTCTGGAACGACAGCATCTCGTCAGGCCTGCGCGGCTGCATTCTGGTGGAGCTGGCGCTGAGAGGACGCGTTCAGCTCGAACCGCAGAGCTCACGCAAGAGAAAACTACTGGACCGCAAGGTGAAGACGAGTCACGTGTGTTTCTATAGCAGTTTACACAATACACACTGATTCACAGCAGCTGCACAGAGATAAACAGGAAAACAACAGTGTTAATGATGCACAAATGAATCATCTGAAATAAGCTTTCCACTGATGTATGGTTTGTTAGGACAGGACAATATTTGGCTGAGACACAACTATTTGAAAATCTGGAATCTGAGGGTGCAAAAAAATCTAAATATTGAGAAAATCATCTTTAAAGTTGTTCAAATGAAGTTCTTAGCAATGCATATTACTAATCAAACATTAAGTTTTCATATACTTACAGTAGGAAATTTACAAAATATCTTCATGGAACATGATCTTTACTTAATATCCTAATGATTTTTGACATAAAGGAAAAATGGATAATTTTGACCCATACAATGATGCTACAAATATACCTGTGCTACTTATGACTGCGTTTGTGCTCCAGGCTCACAAATGCATCAGTTATCAAACAAAGCACGCAGCCCAACAGAAGACAATATTTTTGTGCAAACCGTGACACATTTTATTTTTCGGGATTCACAGATGTATAGAAAGCTCAAAAGAACAGCATTTATTTGAAATAGAAATCTTTTGTGACGTTATAAATGTCTTTACTGGCACTTTTCATCAATTTAATGCAAACTTGATGACTAGAAGTGTCTTTTTTTGTCTTTTATTATTGATGATAATCAGAAATGTTTCTTAAATCAGCATATTATACTGATTTCTGAAGATCATGTGACACTGAAGACTGGAGGAATGATGCTGAAAATACAGCTTTGATCACATAAATAAATTACAGTTGAACACATATTCACATAGAAAACAGCTGTTTTAGATTGGAATAATATTTCACATTTTTTACTGTATTTTGGATCAAATAAATGCAGAAGAGACTTCTTTCAGAAACATTATAAATCTGAACTATTCCCGAGTCTTAGCTGGCAGTGTAAGTGTATCTCCAGTCTCTCGTTTGAGTTTTAGCAGTTCCGGCAACACAAATGCAAATGTTCCTGTGCTTCAGTTAAGTTAAACACACCTGATCTCTCGTGGCAAACAGCAGCGGGTGTGTGAAGCGTCTTCATCCTATTGTCTGAATGACTATAGAGTCAATGAAACCAAACCAGCCAGACCGCATGCGTTAGTCTGTCGTTAGTGTTTCACTGCTGCTGGAACAATCAGAGTTCATTTGCATTGAGAGGATGAGACGGAAATGCCACATTTCTCTTTCAGAATGTCTGGATGTATGTAAATCGCTTGATAAAGTAACAGCACATCTCTGTTCAACAGCCTTGTTAAGAGCTAAAGTAGTTCAGTTGATGTTTAAATAGCTGATGATGGAGTTAAATAACGAGTTGAACCAGACTAAAGCGCACAATGAAGACTCGGGTGGAGCTGACACAACCCTGTGAAGACAATTTACTGTAGGTCATTCTGAGCTTAAAATAGTTGAAATGTCGTTTCGTTCTTTTTCAAACGTGAAGACACTATATCACCCAGACTATAGCATTCAGAATCAGGCATTAATAATTTACACATTAAAAAAATATTAAGGTATTTTTAAAATGACTTTCATTTGTGTAACCTGTTGATTTGAACATTTTTATTAAATCATATTTGGAATTATGGAATTGAATGTATGTGTCCAAAATTATTTGAAGCGAAGCCCATTATGAATGAACAATTTATTGGAATCAGGGTTATTATATTTAACTAAAAAAGAAAAAAAAATTGTTACTTCAAAATAAATGTTGACTGGAAAAAAAATTAAATATAAAAATTGTATACAATATTTTATCAAAAATAGGCTAATTGCTAAGGCAGCATTTCTCATTTAAAACTAAAACTGAAAAATTAAATATTACAAAGCTATATAGACATTAATAAAAAATAAACTATAAAAATGACAAAAACACAAATTACTGAAACTTTAACTAAAATTAAAATGGAAAGTATACAAATAAAAATGAATTCAAAATATGAATAGAAACTATAATGGTATATCAATGATACTAAAATGACACTAATTGTAAAGTCCTGCTTTAAGTTATATATATATTTATATATATATATAAAATTCTTACTTGCAAAATTCTGTATTTCTATCAAAAATCTATCAGAAAGAGCTTAAATAAGTGCTATATTTTATATTGCTTTAAGGAAAATATGAAGTTATTCTACATAATTTTCTTTCTTTATTTTTCTTATTACTATTATTGTTTGAATTGTATCTAGTTTGTCATGAAAATAGCCTCTGTTGATGATATCGTGTTAAATTAAATAAATTGACTAACTCAATCAGTGCTATTTAATATCATCATCATTATTTGTAATTTTTAGTAGTTTTTTAATGTCTATAACGCTTTTAATTTTTATTCCAGTTTTTAATACATCTTCAGTTTAAAATAAAATGTTTAAATGTTTAATTTCAGTTAGTTTATTTTATTTAAAGTAATGAAAGTTATGGTTTTAGTTTGTTAACTATAATAACCCTCATTTATGTCATATATTAGCATATGCAGTGTGTTTTCATTCGTTGGTGTGTGTGTGTGTGTTTTCAGGTGTTGGTGAAGTCCTCCGCTCCCACTGGTGATGTGCTGCTGGATGAAGCACTGAAGCACATTAAGAACACTGAACCACCGGAGGACGTGGCCAGCTGGATCGAGCTTCTCACAGGTCACACACACACACACAAGACACACACACACACACACACACAGCCTGAAGCTTTGTGTCCGGTCTACGTACCATCCCAAGGCTCGGACGGGACAAAGCAAAGCTATGGCTGGGTCTGCCTCCTCCAGGGGCAGCGCTTGCAGGTTCACTACCTGATCCCTGAAGGAGGTAGTAGGAACCTTGGGCACATAGCCAGGCCGGGGGCCTCAGGATTATCTGCGAGTCAGCTGGCCCAAACTCTAGGCTCAATTTGTCGACCGAAAATGCGTGCAGGATCCCCTACCCTCTTGATGGAGGCCAATACAATAAGGAGCAGAGTTTTCATTGAAAGAAACTTTAGTGTAGTGCTCTGAGCACTAGAGTCAGGTCCCAAGAGGGTTTAGAGGGGAGTCGGGGAGGATTCAACCTTCTCGCCCCCCTAAGAAACCTGATGACCAGGTCATGCTTCCCTACCTACTTCCCTCCACGGGGATGTTGTAAGCAGAGATTGCAGTAAGACTTTAAGGGTGGAGGGAGACAGCCTTCGCTCTAACCCTTGCTGCAAAAAGGACAGCAGGACTCTGATCGGGGCTGTGTGCCAGTGCGCCTGTGCCGAGTGTTCCATCGGTCAGGGAGTAAAACAGCTGTAACAACTCTAGGCAGTTGATGTGCCAGTGCAGTTGGGGCCCCGTCCAAACCCAAAGGCCCAACCGGCTGAGGTGTGAGAGTACCACGTCCCTGTGTTCGCACAACTGATCCTGAGACTGAGCTAGTATGAGCCAGTTGTCGAGCTCAGTTGTCATGGTCTGTGGTGTGGAAGGATCGACACATGAAAGTACGCATCCTTCTGGTCGATTGCTGCAAACCAATCTCTGGGATGGATGCACCCTGGGATGGGATTTTTGCGTCAACATCTTGAACGGTAACCGGTGAAGGGCCTGGTCCAAGACATGCAGGTCCAAGATCGATCATAACCCACCGCCTTTCTTGGGTACAATGAAGTAGGGGCTGTAAAACCCCGTCTTCATATCGGCTGGAGCCGGTCCGGCTCTAACGCATCCTTCGCCAGTAGGACTGCGATCTCTGCACGCAAGACAGGAGCATCGGCCGCCTTCACTGATGTGAAGCCGATGCCGCTAAACTTGGGGGGACGCCTGGCGAACTGAATCGCATAGCCGAGTCTGATTGTCCACAGGAGCCAGCGGGTCGGTTTGGGTAGCCAGGCACCCAGACACTGAACAAGCTGGACCAGCAGGATCACTGATGTACCCGCGGTGGGACAGCGAGGTGAAACGCAGGGACTGAGTGAGGGGTCTGAGTGTGCGGTGCAATGCTTACTTGGTTCCACGGTTTGGCAGAGGGTGTGTAAGTAGGGCCTTTGATGATGCTCCTGAACCGCCCGCTGCTGCCTGCTGGCGAGATAGGAGGATGAGTGTGGTCCGGTGTTGGTTCGTCCGCGACTCTCCATGCCCTCTTGGGAACCAGAGACAGAAAACTGCACTCTTGTCGAGATTTTTGGAAACCAGATTCTCCACCCGGCCTTCCTCCGGGGGAGGAAGAGGTGCATTCACCATCCCCCAAAGAGCAGTTCCCTCTCTCTCTGGGTCGCCCGTCCCGGGGCCTCTTGCTCGAATGCTTACTGCCAGGTTTGACGGGGGCCTGGATGGGCGAGGCGGCCTGCCTACACCCAGCTCCACGGCGCCACTTGCTTGAGGCTGCTGCGGATGCGGCACAGGAGCGTGGGTGGGCGCAGGGGGCCTCCCTCGTCGATGAGCAGGCTGGGGCGCTGCGGCCGGCGGACCGGTGGAGGCAGCAGCTGCCTGCCAGGCAGGACATATCGGATCGCCTCAGTCTGCTGCTGTGCAGCCGAGAACTGCTGGACCATGTTCTCGACTGCGTCGCCGAAGAGGCCGGTCTTGGACACAGGGACCTTGAGGAACTAAACTTGTCGGCGTCCCTCATGTCGACCAGACAAAGCAAGAGGTGACGCTCCTGGACCACAAGTGTGGACATTGCATGACCCAGAGAACTCGCAGTGACCTTCGTCCCTCGGAGCGTGAGGTCAGTTGCAGTTCGGAGCTCTTTCAGAACTTCCGGATCGTGACCACCCTCGTGCAGGTCCCTCAGTGCTTTAGCCTGAAGAACCTGCAGTAACACCGTAGCGTGTAAGGCAGAAGCAGCTTCTCCACAGGCCATATAAGCATCGCCGGACAGACCAGACGTGTACCTACAGACCCGGGAGGGGAGGCACGGTTTGCCCTGCCAGGTGGCGGCAGTATTAGGACAGAACTGCATCGCAACCGACCGCTCCACTGGGGGGACCCCCGTATACCCCCTAGCTGCACCACCATCGAGAGTGGTGAGGGAGGAGGAAATAGCAGGTCGGTTTCCGGCAGAAAAAGGTGCCATCCACGACAGGGTAAGCCCCCTCATGCACTTCTGGGAAGAATGGCACCAGGGCGGGACGCTGAGAACCAGTGCGGGCCACCCCGAAGAACCAGTCATCCAACCTGGAGGGCTCGGGACACGGTGGAGGTCTCCACTCGAGACCTACCCTCACAGCGGCCTGGAAAAGCATAGCCGTTAGAGCAGCAGCACAGCCGAATCTTCCTCTCCAGAAAGCTCTGGCTCACCCTCCAATGCAGCGATCGACATCCAGTCGTCGGGAGGACCACCAAGAATACTGCTGGTATGCTCCTTGTAGAGGGCCCAACATGTTCCTTTGGCAGCTCAACTGGTTGCGGAGTGCAAGAGGAGCGATGGTCCCCCGAGGGTTGGTTCCCTGGAGGGTTTGCCATCACCGTTACCCTCAGACCGCCCGTGCTACTGCCTGAAGTAGCCCCCACCTGACTGCCGCCATGACGAGAATTAGATCGAGGCAGAGGCAACGGAGCTCCGCCCCTTTCACGTGTCGCAATGTCGTCTTTAAATAGACGCACCTGTGAATGTTCTTTTAGGGAAAAAGCTCTTTTAGCATGCTGAAGCGCACACGGGAGATGGCCGCCTGCAACACAAACGGGGTAGTGCAGCCTGATGTGTGCAACCCACTCGACACGGGAAACCACCACTGCTGAAGCGCTGTACCGCCAACACCAAGAGCTCTCAAAGAGCGCGCTAAACGCGTTCAGTCTTCTTCTCTCAATAGAGTAGTCAGGAGCAAATTGATGTGATCACTCGGCTCCGAAGCGAAAAGCTGGTATGCGTTGCACCTGCTGCCTTTTTATGCTCACACTGTGATCAGCGGCAGCTGGATGCAATCATCGCATGCTAATGTCCATTGGCTCGTTTAGTTACACTCGGAGTAGATTGGTCTCTCGAAGCGAGATCCCAATTCGTCGGTCACGACGTGACTCGTAGTGACCAACTAAAAGGGAACAGCCTTTTTTTGCAGTGTGACTTTGTGTTTTGATTGTGATGTGAGTTGTGGCCTGGAAATGTCATTATTTGATGGGTTTTGCCGGTTGTTTTCAGGCGAGACGTGGAACCCCTTAAAGCTGCACTTCCAGATGCGTAACGTGCGCGAGCGTCTGGCGAAGAGTCTGGTGGAGAAGGGCGTCCTGAGCACGGAGAAGCAGAACTTCCTGCTGTTCGACATGACCACGCACCCGCTGACAGACAGCAGCGAGAAGGAGCGTCTGGTGCAGCGTCTGCAGGACAGTCTGCTGGAGCGCTGGACCAACGACTGGCGCCGCATGAGCCGCCGCATGCTAGCGCTGATCCTGCTAGCGCACGCCGCAGACGTGCTGGAGAACACACTGTCCTCGCTGAGCGAAGAGCGCTACGACATGGTCTGCTTGCGCTCACGCAGCCTGCTGGAGGCCAATCCCGACCTGGAGAGTGCAAAGGTCACGACCCCCGCCGAGGAGGTGATCTGGGCCGTGCTGGCGGCCTTCAACAGATCCTGAAAGAACGCTCTTCATAGACGTGACGCCTCCTAAGTGTGCTCTACAAAGACAGCAGCGTGAAGCGCAGGCTTGTGTTCGACGCCACACGATGCCAGGGTTATTATCGGTAGCTAAAGCATAAAACAAACATGTTTTCAGTTTTGTATTCTAAACATTGTTTTCCACTTTGGCTTAATTTTAGTACTTCATCTTATTTAATTTCAGTTGGCTGCCAAAGTAATTTTTAAGTTATCGTGACCACCCTCGTGCAGGTCCCTCAGTGCTTTAGCCTGAAGAACCTGCAGTAACACCGTAGCGTGTAAGGCAGAAGCAGCTTCTCCACAGGCCATATAAGCATCGCCGGACAGACCAGACGAGTACCTACAGACCCGGGAGGGGAGGCACGGTTTGCCCTGCCAGGTGGCGGCAGTATTAGGACAGAACTGCATCGCAACCGACCGCTCCACTGGGGGGACCCCCGTATACCCCCTAGCTGCACCACCATCGAGAGTGGTGAGGGAGGAGGAAATAGCAGGTCGGTTTCCGGCAGAAAAAGGTGCCATCCACGACAGGGTAAGCCCCCTCATGCACTTCTGGGAAGAATGGCACCAGGGCGGGACGCTGAGAACCAGTGCGGGCCACCCCGAAGAACCAGTCATCCAACCTGGAGGGCTCGGGACACGGTGGAGGTCTCCACTCGAGACCTACCCTCACAGCGGCCTGGAAAAGCATAGCCGTTAGAGCAGCAGCACAGCCGAATCTTCCTCTCCAGAAAGCTCTGGCTCACCCTCCAATGCAGCGATCGACATCCAGTCGTCGGGAGGACCACCAAGAATACTGCTGGTATGCTCCTTGTAGAGGGCCCAACATGTTCCTTTGGCAGCTCAACTGGTTGCGGAGTGCAAGAGGAGCGATGGTCCCCCGAGGGTTGGTTCCCTGGAGGGTTTGCCATCACCGTTACCCTCAGACCGCCCGTGCTACTGCCTGAAGTAGCCCCCACCTGACTGCCGCCATGACGAGAATTAGATCGAGGCAGAGGCAACGGAGCTCCGCCCCTTTCACGTGTCGCAATGTCGTCTTTAAATAGACGCACCTGTGAATGTTCTTTTAGGGAAAAAGCTCTTTTAGCATGCTGAAGCGCACACGGGAGATGGCCGCCTGCAACACAAACGGGGTAGTGCAGCCTGATGTGTGCAACCCACTCGACACGGGAAACCACCACTGCTGAAGCGCTGTACCGCCAACACCAAGAGCTCTCAAAGAGCGCGCTAAACGCGTTCAGTCTTCTTCTCTCAATAGAGTAGTCAGGAGCAAATTGATGTGATCACTCGGCTCCGAAGCGAAAAGCTGGTATGCGTTGCACCTGCTGCCTTTTTATGCTCACACTGTGATCAGCGGCAGCTGGATGCAATCATCGCATGCTAATGTCCATTGGCTCGTTTAGTTACACTCGGAGTAGATTGGTCTCTCGAAGCGAGATCCCAATTCGTCGGTCACGACGTGACTCGTAGTGACCAACTAAAAGGGAACAGCCTTTTTTTGCAGTGTGACTTTGTGTTTTGATTGTGATGTGAGTTGTGGCCTGGAAATGTCATTATTTGATGGGTTTTGAGTGACCGACTAAAAGGGAACAGCCTTTTTTTGCAGTGTGACTTTGTGTTTTGATTGTGATGTGAGTTGTGGCCTGGAAATGTCATTATTTGATGGGTTTTGCCGGTTGTTTTCAGGCGAGACGTGGAACCCCTTAAAGCTGCACTTCCAGATGCGTAACGTGCGCGAGCGTCTGGCGAAGAGTCTGGTGGAGAAGGGCGTCCTGAGCACGGAGAAGCAGAACTTCCTGCTGTTCGACATGACCACGCACCCGCTGACAGACAGCAGCGAGAAGGAGCGTCTGGTGCAGCGTCTGCAGGACAGTCTGCTGGAGCGCTGGACCAACGACTGGCGCCGCATGAGCCGCCGCATGCTAGCGCTGATCCTGCTAGCGCACGCCGCAGACGTGCTGGAGAACACACTGTCCTCGCTGAGCGAAGAGCGCTACGACATGGTCTGCTTGCGCTCACGCAGCCTGCTGGAGGCCAATCCCGACCTGGAGAGTGCAAAGGTCACGACCCCCGCCGAGGAGATGATCTGGGCCGTGCTGGCGGCCTTCAACAGATCCTGAGAGAACGCCCTTTATAGACAGCATCCGCATCACTACACAGACAGCAGCAGCATCACGACCATTTTTCTTACATGTATACTTGTTTTCGGGTTCAGTTGTTTTAATTTTTATTATTTTTTTTTTCAATGACATTTTTGGCTTTAAATATTTTTAGTTTTTGTAATTTTAGTACTTCACCTTCAGCTCATTTAATTTCAGGTAGTTGCAATGTAGTTTTTCATAAATATTTTCAAATAACAACAATAGTTTTAATTAACAATAACAACACAGATCTTAATTTTAATTTATATAAATTTTAGTACTTCATCTTTAGCTTATTTAAAGGAACACTCCACTATTTTTGAAAATAGGCTAATTTTCCAGCTCCCCTAGAGTTAAACAGTTGAGTTTTACCGTTTTAGAATCCATTCAGCCGATCTCCGAGTCTGGCGGTAGCACTTTTAGCTGTAGCTTAGCATAGATCATTGAATCGGATTAGACCGTTAGCATCTCGCTCAAAAATGACCAAAGAGTTTCTATATTTTTCCTGTTTAAAACTTGACTCTTCTGTAGTTACATCGTGTACTAAGACCGACGGAAAATGAAAAGTTGTGATTTTCTCGACCGATATGGCTAGGAACTATGCTCTCATTCCGGCGTAATAATCAAGGAACTTTGCTGCTGTACCATGCGTGCAGCAGGCAGTGATATTACACAGGGCGTTGGAAAATGAGCCTATTTTCAAAAATAGTGGAGTGTTCCTTTAATTTCAGTTAGTTGCCATGGTAATTTTTCATTTTCATCTAAGATTTTATTTTATTTCAATTAACAACAATAGTTTTAATTAACAATGATCTTAAATTTAATTTAATATTATTTTTAGTAGTTAATCAGTTTTAGTTATTTGCCAAGGCAACATTTCAAATTTTTGTTTAAGTTTTTTAAGTTTCTCATCTAAAATGTATATTTTATTTCAGCTTTATTATATTTTAGATATATTGTAGTTAACAACATCTATATCTATATATATATGTGTGTGTTTAATTCCCAAGGCAACATTTTCATTGTTTAAATTGACTAAAATAACTAAAACTGAAAAAAAAATTTATATGGGCATGTAAAAAAAAGACAAAAACACACAGCAACTACAATTAAAATGAAATTAAAATACAAAAATGTATCAAATAAATAAAAACGAAATAAAATATTAATAAAAAGTAATTCAAAATATTAATATAAATGAATGGAATATGAATGATACTAAAGCAACACTGGAAGATCCTGCTTTAAATCATATTAGGTTATGCTTTTATTCAAACATCCGCATAAGTGTGATGTCTTGAAATGCTGTCTGGGTAGGGAGCGTGTGAGGTTTTGGATAACAGTGCAGCGTTCCCACAACTTTCAGAGAGCGTGTCGGCTGGCATGCATGTCACATGACCTCACTTCTTCATCATGTGACCCTTACACTGTCACATGACGCATGATTCGCTCTCATCTGATGTGTGATTCTTCATGAAGAGAGCTTTACTGTCAGACGTTTTCAGTAAAGTGTACCCAATAACATCATTTTATACATGCCTTAATATTTGTTCAGCAGTTTTTCTTTGCAGGCGGATGTTTACAGGACAGGAGTCGTAACATGTTCATATGTTTGTGAAGGAGGTTTGATTGTGTCTGTACAGAAGCAGAAACTCCAGACAGTGAATATAATGGATGAGAAAGCATCCAAGCGCCTGCTTCTGTCCACGCAGATCCGCTTACTGAAGGTTTGGATCAGGAAGGATTGAACTCGAGGTCTTCTGTTTGATTTTGTTCATGTTTTTAATGAACTTTCATGTTGAACAGAATCTCAAGGGCCTTTGCACAAATATATAGAGTTTTATGTGTTTTTTCCAACAAATGGTCAGTAAAAGATGGAAATGTTTGTCCAACTCAGGAGTTCAAACTAAGTTGTTCATATTTACTTAATATTACTGGATTAGTATCTAAATATGGTTTGTGTGGATTTATATTTTTCTAGCAATGATCAAAAATGCATGATATTAAAAAGCACTAATAATTTTATATATATATATATATTAGTGGTGTCAAATGATTAATCGCATCCAAAATAAAAGTTTTTGTTTTCGTAATATATGTGTGTTTACTGTGTATATTTATTTATCATGTGTATATATAAATACACACACATGCATGTATATATTTAAGAAAAATGTTATGTTTATAAAATATATTTATATATAATATAAAATATAATGATATGAATATGTAAATGTATATGCATGTAAATATTTACTGTATGTGTGTGTATTTATATATACATAATAAATATACACAGTAAACACACATATTATGTAAACAAAAACTTTTATTTTGAATGCGATTAATTGATTAAGAGAAATGTACTTGTATGTCACTTTCGGGAATATTTTGTAGAAATTTTAAAGATATATATATATATTATTCTTATTTATTTTTTTGGTGAAAATCAGATGGTATGGTAAAAACATATATGTAAATACAATTTAAAATAGATTTTGAGTTGGTAGAGTAGAATATCAATGCAACAGATTTTACTATTATGATTTAGAAAATTATTATTATTTTATTTGCACTATTTTGGACATGTTAAATTATTACCCTGCATGATTTTAAAGATTTTTGGGAAAGTGCAAAAACATCTTATAGATATTTTCTGTATTTAAAACTAGAAACTTGTCATTGACTCAGATACTGTATTTCCACTTCATTTCCAGCGTTATCGTTGACATGATTGCAAAGATATTATTTAAACTGAACTGAGCTGGATGTTGACATCACTGAATTCAATGATGAACTGTCTTTAGCTGAAAAATGAGTGTTTACTATTGTCCTTTTGCATTATTGACACTATTTTCCTAATTAATGCTGTTCAGTTGCTTTGTCACAATCTGTATTGTTAAAAGCACTATATAAATAAAGGTGACTTGACTTGACTTGACTGTATATGTGAAATTCTGTACTGTACATCCATGATGGTTATGAATGATAAATGACGTGATTATGGCTCTTCTGTGTTTGATGAGATGAAGGACTTCATGTGGAGAGTTTGATATGCAGTGTAAGTTTTTAATTTAATATTCAGCTATCATAATAAATTATTGCTGTTTAACTGTCAGTCTGTTGATCGATCAATTTTAGTTTTTTGTTTTTATTATTAACTAGACTGATATTTATAGCTAACTGACCTACTTTTGGGTTATTAACTAATAAACTGATCCATAATTGTCAATTATGTTACTGAAGTAAGACAACAGAAATTCTTTTATCATAAATTATTGTTTATGTTGAGATAATTAATGAATTAATGAGATTAAAATGTATTTTATAATTAATATCAAATCATTCAATGTTGGTGGTTTGTCGATAAAAAATGTTGAATTTATTATATTTTATTTACGTAGATATTAATATAGTGCATCTGTAAAATCCAGCGTTTAATCGTTCCATTTTTTTTACAAGAATTGAAAATAAATCCAAAATATTGCTACTACTGAACCAACAACAAACTTGCTTAGATAATATTCTATTATAATTGAATTATTTTTACGTGAATGACTGACTTTAAAATTGCAAATGCTTTTCATTTTATATATGAACACAAAATGTATTATTATGTATGTTTGTGTGCTTTAAAATACTATTTATATAGTCCAGATGTTTTTAGATGTGTAACAGAGCATTATTTAGTCGTCTGTTTTCATCACACAGGATACACTCGTCAGATTTTGCTGAATTATAGAAATTTCATCCCACATGAACATCAAAACCAATCAATCACATGACAGGAACTTTCCATTGACGTCTGCTGTTTAAAACTGAGCTAATGACGCTTGCTCTCTCCCTCTCGCCTATCCTCTATGGTTTCATCCTCACTTCCTTCACCCTCTCAGTTTTCAGCACTGGACACAAACAGTGCTACTTGACACTCTTTGCTCCACTCTAACATCTTGCTTAGACAACTTTTGCCCCCTTTCATCCAGACCAGCACGCTCCACCCCCTCTGCCCTCTGGCTGTCTGATGTTCTCCGGGAACATCGCTCTAGACTCAGGGCTGCAGAGAGGAAGTGGCGCAAATCAAAACACTCTACCGACCTTAGTGTGTATCAGTCACTCCTCTCCTCCTCCTCTGCAAGTGTCTCCACTACTAAAACAACATACTACCACAACAAAATTAGCAACTGTTCTGACTCTCGCACGCTTTTCAAAACTTTTTCTTCTTTTCTTTGTCCTCCTCCACCCCCTCCTTCTTCAACTCATACTGCCGGTGACTTAGCAATATTCTTCACAAATAAAACACAAACCATCAGCGACCAATTCTCCACACCACAAACTGACAGAAACTTAATAACCATAAATACTCATTCTCTCTCCTCCTTCTCTCCACTCTCGGAGGCAGACGTTTCTAAACTTATCCTTTCCAATCATCCTACCACCTGTCCGCTTGATCCTATCCCCACTCACCTCCTTCAGGCCATTTCTTCTTCAGCTATACCTGCGCTTACTCACATTATCAACACCTCTCTTCACTCTGGTACCTTTCCCACAGCATTCAAGCAGGCTCGGGTAAGCCCACTGCTTAAAAAACCCTCTCTAACTCAAGCACTTTTAGAAAACTACAGACCGGTATTAAAAAAACCCTAGCTACGTGTACTGTGCTAGAATAACTGAGACTGGTCACAGCACTTGTATACTGTTGCTCTCTTGTTGGTCTGATTGCTTCTATTGTCCTCATTTGTAAGTCGCTTTGGATAAAAGCATCTGCTTAATGATTAAATGTAAATGTAATGACATTTGTCTGCATCTGTACATTTTCACATTATTATATTATATTATATATTTTATTTTATATTACCCATTATATTATATTTTATATTATTTTATTTTATATTATTACATTAGACCCAAAACCCTCAGGCAAAAGGTTTTCATTTGTACATTATAATTAAGACTTTATTATATTACATATATCCTATTATATTTTGTTATGTAGAGGGAAAACCCTCAAGCATATGTACATTTTATAAATTTTCATAAAGATATCCTCATAATGTTGCTGATTTCAGGTTCTTCTGTAGTTGTGTGGGACATTTGGTGAAATTTGACACATGTATTTGACTTTGATCTCGGATATTTGGTTCTTAAATGAAATCATTTAAATCAGGGGTGCCCAAACTGGGTCCTGGAGGGCCGGTGTCCTGCAGAGTTTAGCTCGAACCCCAATTAAACACACCTGAAGCAGCTAATCAAGCTCTTACTAGTCATACTAGAAACTTGAAGGCAGGTGTGTTGAGGCAAGTTGGAGCTAAACTCTGCAGGACACCGGCCCTCCAGGACCCAGTTTAGGCACCCCTGAGTTAAATTATTTAATAGAGCTGCATTCAATCATTATGATGCATGAATCATTAAAAAAATCATTCGCATTTCCATTTAATTTAATGTTAACAGCAGGACTAGAACACAGACGATTAGACACAAACAAAGCAGGAATGTTGGAAAAAAACAAATCCAGACCTGTTGAACCCAGCCTCTCTCTCTCTCTCTCTCTCTCTCACACACACACACACTCACTCTCTCTCTCTCTCTCTCTCACACACACACACACACACACTCTCTCTCTCTCTC